GGCTGCGACGGCCTCGTAGCTGAATTCACACTCATGACTTCAGGCGACTACACCGGAGCACCGCCCACTTCGATGCCTGCATCTCGACAACCCACGGCCACCCCGCAACAACAAAGCAGACAGACCTCAAACGCACCATCAGCCGCCTCAGAACGAACTGACACACGCAGCACACGCTCAGAGATGCCACCACCAGTCCAGCCAGCATCGCGGCGTGACCAGAACGGTCGGCTACGCAACCCAGGCTCACGGCAGCCATCGTCAGCACCGTTGCAGTCCCAAACAGCGCCAATACAGGCAGAACCAGAAGACGAGGAGAGTTTGTTCGTGCCGCACTACGATCCGAGAATGCAAGAAGAGGAAGACGCAGCGTGGGCACCGATGGACTACGAGAAGGAGGAGACGCTTGGCTGGGATGCAAGCGCTGATAACGACGTTGCGGCATTCCCGACGTTTCGCGACACGGGCACTATGCTAAGAACGACAACTGCGGATAGCAACACAGTCATTGAGCCGACGCAGAGGCTGTCTGAAATCAAGGGATTGTGGTAGAGCATGTGTGAAAAGATATCACGAACGTATCCGTACTGTGCTATCGAGTTCCCGCATTCAATCAATTTTTGATTTCAAATCTGAGCTGTTGCTAAGATGCCGATCCAGCACTCCAATCGGGACAGATGAGGCGATGATCATGTCAACTGTTAGAGGAACAGCAATGATCATCGTGAGGCAGTCAGCGACTCTTTCAATGTGTTTTCAAAGCCGATAATCCTTCTGGAGGCTACAATATCCATAAGAGGGTCTGAGGGTGAGACAAATCCTCGGCCAAGTCACGGATGTCGTTGCTGCGAACGGTATTTTCGATAAGTCGTCAACGGGAAAAAAACCAAATCCGTATGTAAGATCCATCCGGGCCCACTTGCTTGGAAGATCCTGCTCTTGATTCGGTCCATCATCTCTACCCCCGAGAAGCTCTGATCCAGACTCTATTACTTCTTTCGGCGACCGTAAAGTACCCGGACTGCTGGCAACCTGATGAGCATGCATTCCGATAGCCCTGAATTAGCTGTACAAATCCATGTTATCCTCCTGCCCCTCATTCTTTTGCACCCCAGCCTCTTCTTCTCCCTCTCCCTGCGGCTGCACTCGGCGCTCCAGCTGTGTAATCCTATTTCTCAGAACGTCTCTCTCGAGCTCTGGCAGCTGCTTCAGACGGTCGGTGAAGGTGCTGCTGAGATGATCGTCCTCGAGGTAGATGTAGAATAGGTCCGCGATATACTCTGAGAACAATGCCTTCAGGTCATCATGCGCCTGCAGAGACACCTCGCTTTGATAGATGGAGACTGTGAACGCCATAACATTCCAGAGATCCCACCATGGCTGTGAGGAGTGAATCTTGTCGACGATATGTTCGAGCAAGTTGTCCATGTCTAGAAGCTCAGCGGTTCTCCATGCTGACATGCACTGGGCGAACGTGTCGGCGACTTGTTCCTCTGTCTCGGGCTCTCGATGTCCGAAATCACCGTCCGACAAGTACTCTGCGGCCCAACGAAAATCTTCTGGCGCGATATCGACAAGTCTGGGATGGACGAGTTCCCATGTGTTGTCACCAACCGGCTCTATGTAGTTCTTCCCAGAAAGAGCATCTCGAAAGTACGGTCGGTCCCAAACGTGGTGCTTCAGAAGCTGCAACTTGTACTTGCGGCGCTGCGGGTCGATGTCGCTGTTGTTCGTGGGGTCCATCTCCGGACCGACAAAGATTTGCACGAACTGATCGCTCTCGTCACTGCTATGTGTCAGACCGATGTCACTGATCTTCGCGCCTTGAACTCACAGATCCTCTTCTATCACGTCGGCATTTGGTGCTGCAGGTGTGGAGGCATTCAGTCCATTTCGGCGAAAAACATCCCGTGCAGATAATTGTGAGGCGGCTGCTCCTTTCGGTCTGTGAGCTGATCGTTGAGAGAGCCGCTTCGATAGCCCTACCACGTTCGCCGTGCGCGAATTTTGCCTTGGAGGTGGTGGGGACGAGTCGCCTTCATCAAAGCCAGAGCCAGAGCCAAAGCCAGAGCCAGAGCCAAACCCAGAGCCAGAGTCAGAGTCAGAAAGGATAAAGGGCGCAGAAAAACTGCCTTGAGTGACCTGAGAGGACGTCACATAACCGCTAGCTCGCTCAGTCCTGGGGTTCTCATCAAATCTCCTCTTCTGTGAAGGCGATGGAAGATTGTCGTCCGGACATGCTGACAAGGTTCGACTAGAACGCTTTGATGGTCGCGTAGAAAAGCCAAAAGCGTTTCTGTCGTCTGGAAGTGAGGGATCCTGTGTTAGCAACTTTGGGGGTGGCTGTGGACGTTCACAAATAGGCATCGATGAATCCTCGTGGTACGGATGCGGAGCAGGCTTCTTGAGACCTGAACGGGGAGGGTTAGAAAAGCTGTTACACTGTCCCAGAGGTACCAGTGGGTTTCGTCGAGAGCGTGGATGAACATCGATGATGCCCATTCTGATTGCTTCCGCCATCTCGGGATCATTCTCAAGATTGTCATAATTAGTACTGATAGGACAGAGCTCTGGAGTCTGACTTGATGCCAGGATAGCTTTCCAATAGCTTAAGTCGAATTGAGCGTCGAGAGCGTCCAGCGCAGCGTCGTAAGCTTCTTGAAGTCCAGGTGTTGTGCGCTTCGTTACATCATCTGCGGCGCAAGGGTCGAAAGTCTCCATTTGTGACGTTTGAGCCCAGCATCTGGACTTGTCAGCATTGTGTTTTATTACATGACATCGTTCGGACTTACAAGTGGCTTGTGTCCAATACTCGAGCCAGCTTCAGCACAATGGAATACATGCCTCTGGGTCGAGTGCGCAGGAATGATCTGGGCGCGGCGTCATCCGTAAGGTAGATCGACGGCCATAAAGGAACGTCAGCTCCAGATCCTCGATACATAATGACTGTCCCTGGTGTGCACCCAAAGAGCTTCATCGCAGGCGTTGGTCGAGCCACCGTTACGAATGATCTTCTGGGCAATCGGCGAACGTAGCTCAGTCTTGCAAAGTGTGTTCGTGCGATGGGAATGAGAAAGTGGTGAAGCAACGACAACTCTGAGTAAGAGGATGGAAAGAAGCAAAGATGGTTGCAAAGATTCCAATCCTTTAAGCAAGCGACGTCTAGAGGTCAAGTCAAGGTAAAGGTAGCTGAAGCATGGCTGTTTGCGAAGTGAGAGAAGACAATGCTCCACCCATCCTTCGGGCGAGTAAACGGCACCGCATTGTCATCTTGAAGTCTAATTCACCTCTACTACAAGTCTTGCGATCTATGATGAAGTCGTTTCGAACGATCGCTGGGTGTTGGTCGTGGTGCACAAGCGGAGCGGAGTACGTTCGGGAGTTTCAGTATCGATAAAGAGCCAACCAATCTCAGGACATCTGGCATCAAGCTCACCACGACAGGCAACGGGAGCTCCAACACAACACCACGAAAGATCCCATACACGTTCGCCCAGCCGAGAGGTCGCCGCGTATTGACCTGCGCGATCTCACCGCCTGAACACGCATAACCCCCTCAAAACCCACCTTAACGCACACCCAGACCGCGACCATGCTCGGCGTCGCAGGCATGCAGCCCCGGCAACTCGCCGCGCAAGTCCTGAACTTCGCGCTCGTCCTCTCGACCGCCTTTATGATGTGGAAAGGTCTTTCCGTAGTCAGCGACTCGCCTTCGCCGATTGTCGTCGTACTTTCAGGGTCCATGGAGCCCGCGTTCCAGAGGGGAGATTTGCTATTCTTGTGGAACCGGGGAATGGACACACAGGTCGGGGAGATTGTGGTGTACAATGTCAAGGGAAAGGATATCCCGATTGTGCACAGGGTGGTGAGGAGGTATGGTGGAAAGTAAGTACAGCTTTTCTCTGGATACTCGCGAGCGAAGAGAGGTAGAGAGCGCAGGAACATTGTGCATGCGTGTGAGCATATACGACCTTGGCGCCTGGTGCTGGCAACTTGACAACCGAGAGCAAGTGCTGACAAGCTCACAGCAAGACACCCCTCCATCTGCTCACCAAGGGCGATAACAACCTCGCAGACGACACCGAGCTCTACGCGCAGGGCCAATCTTTCTTGAACCGCAAGGAGGACGTCATTGGTAGCGTCGTTGGTTTCATTCCGTTCGTGGGCTACGTTACGATCCTGTTGAGCGAGCACCCATGGCTGAAGCAGGTCATGCTGGGGATAATGGGTTTGATGGTGGTGTTACAGAGAGAATGATCCTGGCTGGAGCTGTCGAGCGGAGCTGATGCGAGCATATTGCGCATATTGCAGACAGGTCATTCCGAAAAATGGAGGCGTGCTAGCTTGCAGCTTGGCTCAAGGCTGGAGACCCGCTGCAGCCGTTGTAGCATAGCAAGGTGTTTGGGTTATTACACGAACACGATTGCAAAGCTCATTCTGCTCAAAGGTGGATTCATTGATCTTGTTCTGGTCGAAGCTTTACGTTCCGGCTCAAAGTTGCTGTCAGCTTGCCCTTGACTGCTCCACTACGCTCGTACTCACGAATTAGCTCGCATGAATGACCTTCCATGAGTTTCCTTACGTGAGAAACCTGTACTCGTTTTCCCCACGCTTTTCACGCGACACTTACACCGAAGCTTCTAAACATGAACAGTGAAACCGGGACATCTCGTTTCTTCTTGAGGCTCCCTTGCTCTCATAAGCTCTTCGACAGCGCCCCCAGCAAACACGCCGGCTCTTATATTGCCATAAGAATGGGCTGCGAGAGCAGGAACCTCGAAAGTATACGAACGAGGCAGTCAAAGTTGATAGGTATGCGAAAGAAGCTCTGGAGGCTACAATCTCCTCTGTGCGGTAGTCTATCTCTTACGCAACGCAAGAACAAAAAACAGCTCTCCATCGCCAAAAACTGCAGGACCGTAAGGGTAGTCGAGCAAAAAGACATAAAAAAGACATAAAAAAGACATAAAAAAGACCCAGACGTTCAAAAAAGCAAAAACTGCATCCGGCGGGGTTCGAACCCGCGACCCCCTGCTTTTACCGAAATGGGAAGCAGATATGCTAACCACTGCACAACGGATGCTTTGCGTTCTGATTATTAGCTTGTAACAAGCTGTAATATATATACCAATGAAAATACCAACTGGGCTCTTTTTCCAGCTCTGAGAGCTGTATAGTGCGCTTTATAAGCAAGGCGGTAGTTTGTTTAACCTACATGCTGGGTGAACAAGTGACCGTGATGCGAGGCTCGGATTCACCGCTTCCTCTTACGTTGCAGGAAAAGTCGGATTCAGCAGCAAAATTATTGTAGCCATGAGAAAGTTCATCCGCACAGGAACAGTGCGTGGATAAACATTGACTATCTCCCATTTTTCTAAATCTCGAAGCTTGTGTCCGGCCTCTTCGGCAACATGAGAGCGCTTCCTCACATGAACTTAGTAAAGTGGCGTCCAGTCAAGCCCCACCAAACAAAGGGTCTCTGGAGATTCATTGCCAAAACAACGCTGAACTTGTATCAGGGGTGGGAGGATGTAGGAGGTCTAGTGCTGTTTCTCAGATTGGAGAAAATTTCAATTGGTGTACGAAGTGAGCAGTCACTGTGCTTCGTATCTGACGATAGGGCTGGGATCTGATGTACCGAGGCATGAGTAGCGCTACGCGTACGCGCCAAACCGCACTCAAGGACACACCAATATGCCATGGAGCTGGGTGCAGCGCGTCTCAAGTAGTCTGGATGCTGTGACATGATACCGCTCTCATCGTAATACAGAGCCGTGTGAGTCGAGCAAAGTGTGAGACTAAAGAGGTCCAGATCGTTCCGTTCGTGAAGTCACACAAGCACGGCGCAGAAGAGTGTGACAAAGATGTTGAAACCGCAGTTGACTATTGTACAAAGATCATGAGCTTCGTGATGCCTTCCGCGCCCTCGATGGAGAGAACGCCATACATCATAGACGAGTACCGAAGCTATGTCTGCCTTGGTGAAGCTGTACTGCGGCAGTTCGTCAAATGAACCGGATCGCTAGCAGCTTCCACATAGAACCATTAAGATGAACCATGTGAAATAATCGATCCGTGAGCCGCCTGTGACACCATACCACCTAACCAAAGCACAGAAAGACGAAGCACGTGAGTACAGATTAGACTGAGAAGAGTGTGAGTGAGGGAAGCCTTCTCTACTCGGACTCCTCCTCCTCCTCCTCCTCATCGGCCTTCTCCTAAGAAATGTTAGCAGAATTCCTGTCGCGCACGTGCGGAACATACCTGGTAAGCAGCCTTCTCCTCCTCGTAACGCTTCTTGTCAGCGGCGGCCTTGGCCTCATAAGGAGTGCGCTGCTTTTCAGAGAGAGCCTTCCACTTCTCACCAAGCATCTTGCCGACCTCGCCTGCAACAAGTTAGCATATGCGACGAAGAAGCTGATGGAGATTGACTCACCGAACTTGATGCCGGGGTTCTCCTCGCGGACCTTGTCGCGCTGCTCGTTGGCGAAGAACATGTAGGCGGAGAGACCGCGCTTGGGAGCGTTGGGGTCTGTCATGTGTCAATAACTGCGCACATACGTGAATACACGTGATCTTACCCTTCTTCTTCTTGCCAGCATCGGCCTTCTTGCCCTTGCCGCGAGTTACCTTCTCCCCCTTAGGCATGTTGTTGTGCTGCACAGTGCGTTAGCAGGCGGTCGTGGAAGATGATGGAATGCGCAGGCAGTTGAACATGTGCGTCAATGGAATGGCGCAATGACGAAGTGAATGAAAGTGGAACCACCAGTACCGACGTTGGTCGGTGGTGGGAGTACATGAGTGACATGCGCGCAGCAGCACCTGGCGGCGCGTGCAAAGTGACGCGATCGCAAAACACCGCGATGCGTCGTGAGAAGCGTGATTCTGCGAGGATAGAAGCTGAGAGAACTTACTGAAAGTTTTGAGATTGGTAGATTTCAATGGGGTGACTGAAGTCTGTATGGTGGTTAGCATGCGTGCTGTTGCTGTGCAGCGCGACGGTGATGAACAGGAATGCAACGCGACGAGGCTCGAATTGCACTGAAAAGAAGGCAGGACAAGCTGCGGAGACGCGAATTGAGGCCAGTAAACGCGCACAAAATAGTATAGAGGTGCGTGGTTGTGTTGGAGACCAAATTGATGTGATATAGTGCAAGCGAGACTCACCAAAGTCGTGTTCTGCGGTGGAAGCAGTTTGTATGGAGAGGGATTTGTATGAGAGACGCTCACACAGTATGAGGGCGGCAGCTGCTACCCTCAAAACCCGCAACAGGTGCCAAGCGGCGTTATGTAAGCGACCTCTGATGTTATGGCAGCCGCGTACCGCAAGCCCCTCTAACAACGCCGGGTGCTTCGCAGCAGCACACGGGCTGCAAACGATATCGGCGAAGCTTCTAGAGCCAAAGCGAGTGTTTCTGACCGTCTCCAGCGTATTGTCAGGCAGATTATGCATCACCATTGCACTTTTGTCTACTTCAGCGACCTCTGCGAGGTTTCAGCACTGCGCAAGGCGATGTACGACGTGCAGCATCTTGGGCGCGGCTGGTCGGATTCAACCTTGCCTGGCCGGTTTAGAGCAGGAAAACTGCGCGCTGCAGTCGATACGCGCTGCGACTGGTCAATGCTGCGCAAAGCCGCCCTTGATATCATTTTGGTTGTTGGCTGGTTGATGTTACTCGCTCACCCGCCTACCAGCCCACCGCGCACGCCGACCGAAAGGGGTTGCCTGCAATCTTCGACGTTCTCCAGAGGCCGCTTGGAGGCTGGCCCGGCCGTCAGCTTGTTTCCCTGACCCCGCAGCAAGTGCTCTTTTGCGGCTTTGCCGTTGCCTGTGAGCCGAGTTTCATGCGCCCGGTCCGCTTCCAGCAATGAAGACGGCTGGCTGTCTCGCTGCGCAGTGCCCGTGACTTGCAAGCTTGGGCGAGACCTGGGTCTACTGCGCTTTCGACATGCGCTAAGAGAGCTAAAGAAGAGCGAGAAGCATTCGCATTCTTCGTCAAATATTGGTGCTGCCATACGAAGTCCAATATAAATCTGCGATGCAAGCTGTTGTGGTGAGCTCATTGATCGACGCCGCAGCGCCGTTAAAGCAGGCGCTGCGTCTTGCGTCACGCTCCACCTTGCCTCACGGGTGGCATCGAGATTTAACAATGGAAGCAACAGTCAGCCAAAGCCATCAGCTCGTCCACAGAACAATATTGCATCTCCCATCTTTCGCGGCGGTGCGCTGAATTTGAAAAGGGATTGTTTCCAGCTCTCAAGTTCTAGCTTCAAAGCTCCGATGGCTGTTTGTCAACAACTACGTCATAGTACTCGCTCGCCCTTCTCAGCACTGTCTTTCTACAGTGCCCCTCACAGCTCGTCTGCAACGCGCCTCGCTCTAGCCCTCGCGCCCCTAAGCCGATCACTTCTTGCAATAGGCGTCTACCTAGGTAGAAGCGGTTGCAAACGCTCAGCTATCATCACCGCATGTTCTTGACGAGCATCAGAAACATGCGTCGTACCAGCAGCAGCAAGCCGCAAGTGACATTGAGATGTGCCGTTGATAGGGACCAGTTCGATATGGCCTTCCGCCGTCTCCAGTCTTGTGAGCTTTCAATCATCCTCATCGTCCAGCACCAGCTCGGTCAGGCTTTCGTCTGCCGCCCAGTTGATGCCGCTGCCAACGATCATCGCCGAAAGGATGCCTTTAAGTGTCTTCATTCTTCTCCTCGATTCTTTCAGTTCCTTCTCAACACTTCTGATCTGCTCGCGCAGTTTTGGATCCTCGATATCTTCCGCTGACTGCGTCTCCATTGCCTCTGCCAAAGCCAGCATAATCTTGGACAGTTCGCGGTTCTTCTGGTTTGCAACAATGTTTGCCTGTTCTGCTGTGACCAGAGCACGTGTGGAAGAAGCAAGCCTGGAAGCCAAGCGGCCTTGCACCATAGCTACGGTGTCATTCTCTGTGATCAGCCGGAGTAGGCGTCTTCTCAATGTTAGTCCAGTGTTCGCGGGACAAGTCAACAACTCACTTCTCAGCAAAACCGGTCTCACCACCCCCGTGGACAGCTTTGAGTACCGGATTTGTGACGAGGACATTGTGGGTGATTTTATTGCGCAATTCGTACTCTGCCTTTGCTTCCATAGCCTCGCGCTCGGCCGCGATCAGCTGCTCTTGCAAGTCATCATCTGGAAGACTTGAGACATTAGGCACGTGTGCTGCACTTGTGTCAGCCTTGAGCCTCGAACTTGTAAAACGATGTGACGCGCCTGTTTCTTGCGCCCGTAGTAAGCTCTGTTGCAACTCAAGCTCTCGAAGCTGGTCATAGAGCTCGAGGGCTCGCTTCTCGGTCTCGGTAAACACGAACGCGTCGCTGTGGTTTGTCTGAAGCAAATCACCAATGTCGCCCAAATCCGGTGACTTGGCGTTTGCGTCCGCCATAACAGTATCAGCTTTGTTCGCCATCCTATCGTGATCGCAAAGTATATTGTGCGCAAGTGAATGACCCGAGCAGCACATGTGACTCTCACTTATCGCGCGCGTGAATGATGCATGGCGCCGGCCGTGCACCGAATCCCTGCGCGACCTGCCTGCTTGGCAGGTCGACATTCGTGATGGTACCATGAACCTTTACTTTCCTCCTGCCTCTCACACCTGCTGCATGTTTTCCACTGAGCAGCAGGAGAGTTTGTCGAATGTCGCTGCAGATTGCTGTAGCTCATACGGGCCAGCGCATTGACGCTGATCCTGTTGCATTCGCATCCGTCGATGCGCTCAAGCACTGGATCGCAAGAGCTACGGATATCCCATCTGAGCTCCAAATATTGCTGACGCCTGCCGGAAAACATGTCAAACTTCAAGCGCTGCTCACCGAGAAAGACATATTCGTATACAGCCGCGACCTCTCGAACGGCTCCCAGCGATCCATCCCATCCACACCGCTCCCAGATGCCTTCACGCCGGAAGACCCGCCGAAGTTCCTCGCGAACAACACGGACATGCAATCATGGCGATCGCTATTCCAAGCCCGCCGCGACTGGGCCTTTGCCGTCCTCGAGAAATCGCACGCCATGTCCGTCACAGCCTCGAAGCACTTCTCG